GGCCAGACGTGGCACGTGGTACGTGCGCGCCGCTCACGTGGCCGTGCTCACGAGGTGCAGGTGCGGCTGCAGGTGGGCTGCAGACGGGACTGCACCGCGCACCTGTCTGCGCCGCGCACCTGTCTGCAGGGGGCAGATCTGAAAAGCACAGGTCCGGCCTTTTTGGTTGACGTTCCACAGTGGCCTTAACGGGAGTCTTACTATTTCTGCCCGTAGACTGGCAGCTCCCTGAAGGGCAGAAGCAGAGGTGTCATGAGGTCCTTTGGAAAGAGCCCCGAAAACCTGGCTTTTTGCCCCGGTTCTGTCCCCAGGTCTCCCTGAGGGGTCTGGGGCAAATCTTGACCCTCTGGGCCCAGGTGTCTCGTGTGTAAGGTAAGGCATGGGGCCTGTTAACGGATCTCCGCCACGTGCCGTGGTTAAAAACGTGGCCCTTGAGTCGGGCTAATCTGAGTCCGCCTCATGCTGCGAGTTCCCGGGCAAATATCAACTGGCCTCCGCTCGGCCTTGGCGTCCTCCGCGCACAATTAAAATGACAGCGCCTCTCGCGCAGGATGCTTGGGGGATTACAACTAAAACGCAGTTCCTGGTTGCAGAAAGCACTCAGTAATCGCTCCTTACTATTACTACCTCAGAGCCCTTTCTAACTGTCTCATCCCTCTGACCTTGACCCGTGTGTTGCCTAAGGAACAGGAATGACCAAAATGAAAAAACAAAACAAAAAAACAAGGATGCTGGAGTGGAAAGAGCAGTGGTCCTCTGGACCCAGAGGCAGGGGGCCAGGTAGCCGGCTTAGCCATCTTAGCTGTTTCTCAGATCCTGTGTTTCTTCATCTGCAGAATGAAAATACTTAAAAATGGATAACCCTTGTCACATCCATTATCGATATCAAACCCTGTCTGTCCCTTCCTAGAGTTGTTCAGGGATCAAATAAGAGACTCTATAGCAATTCAAAGAGCAGAGCAGGATGTCAGTGTCAGGAATGGTTATTTCTTCAAACTACCGTGGCAGTTACACAACACTGATCCGTAAAAGCTTAGGCGAAACCGAACACTAGAATGCCTGGTCAGAAACACTAATACATGTTTCCTTTATTCAGCAAATGACTGAGTGCTAGGCATTGAAGATAAAATAGTGACAACACACCATTCCTGCCCTTGCGTTTACAAGAGCAGATAGGAAGCACTTGTTGCTATAAGGG